AATACCCACAACAGCCCTGTGAGGTAGATTAGGCTGAGAGGCAGTGACAGACACACCCCCCCCCCGCAAGGTCTCCCAGGACCACTGGGAGATTTGAACCCTGTTCTCCTAGGTCTTAGATCAACATTCTAGTCACGACACCATGCTGGTGTAATGAGGAATGCTAACAGGGGGTGGCCTTTTGTGTCAAAGGGCTGTATAAGTTCAGTTCAGTTCTGGTGCATAAAAATTCCTCAACTCAGAATATGTATTATTCTGCTTATTTATTAGTTGCTTTTCGGGCCAAGAACTCACGAAGCTCAGAGAAGGGAGATAAAGCAACAGAGCATTAGGCAGAACATGGAGTATGGATACAGACAAAGATGTGTATGAGAGAAACCAAACTGGATCACCTAAACTCTCTTTAAGGTAATAGTAACAAATGCACGTGTTTAAGGCTTTGTTGAATGTTAGAGCTGGAGGGGCCAATGAATGGTAACAGAAAGAGAGTTGCATTACTGCAGAGCCACCACCAAGAAGGCCTTGTGTGCTTGCCAGCCTAACTGACTTCAGCACTGTTTTTTCAATCGTAACTGCGTGTTTTTTTACACCTGTCTCCAGCTGGTAGATTCTGAGGTTCTAGTATAGGCTGCACATCTATATGGAGAAGTATTTATTGAACTGCTGGGTATTTGAATGGCTCTAGAGATGCATGCAGGTCATAGGTCTCAGACTTCCTTAATCCCCACCAAGAACCTTGAAGGTAGCATCCAGATGTGCAACAAGATTTTGCAGCTATGTATATTAAAGCCACCTGATAACTGTCTTCACCCACTTGGGAGACAGGAAGAAGAGAATGTAAAAGTGCTTCCCGATGACCTGTATGTGGAGCCTTTATCCTGATTTGTTTGCAGGGAGGTTAGACAGTGTGGTGCTAAGTAAGTGTAGTCCCACACTCTCCAGTGCATTTTTCTGCCACCTTCCTTATCGCAAAATGGCTGATCTTTTAGAGAAGCGGATTTGTTGCACAAGACCTCCCAATCAACTGTAACTGCACACCCTGAATTTGCTGGTACTGTATGTGTTTGCATCCTACCTGAAAATAGTACAGTGTCCTATTATTATCCTGGTTGTATTTGATATAGACAAATAGGGAGTGGTGTATTGAGAATTTATGGGTTATTTCTGTGACTTTTAATCCATTTTAACAAATGAGCTTGAGTTAATCTCTTGTGGCATGTTTTTGAACTAGTGAAGATTCCCGTGCACTTTGCAGCTCCAGGGTTTTTAAGGAGAAAAATTCTGCAGATCCTCTTTTCAGTGGTCTTCACTGTGCAACAAACATCCTTCTATGGAAATTTAATACAGATGGCTGCAGTCTCCTGTTCTTTCACTGACAGAAGACCTTTAGGGTACCCTTTTGTTCAGCACCATCCCTGTTGCACAGCTTCTTAATAACCTGAGATAGAGCTCTTTCCAGCCACATTCCTATGGGAGGCAATGGCAACAAAAAAGGCATTTTGGAGCCTTCCAATTTGTTTGCAGAGTAGCCTTTGTGTTCTCTGTTCTTTCCGTGGACCAGAAATAACCTTTTGCTCAGTTGTGTAACTTGGCTTGAGAAATGCACTACAATTTAGTGGCTTTTACTAGCCCTTTCCTGCGCTGTTTCCTGTATTCTGACATTGTAGTGTGATCTATTCATGGAAAATCGCAAGCTTCCTTTATCTGGCAGGCCCTCAAGAGTGTGCTGCTGCAGCTCACGGAGTGGGGGGAGGGAAGGAGGAACATTTGGCAAAGGGAACCTGGGATGTCCTGCTCCTTTCCTTGCTCCTTTCCTGTTCAGCTCAAGTTGTCGTGTCTGGCTTTGTTTGGTTAGAAAACGCAATGCATTCCTGCTCTCCTGAAATTAAAGGAAACTGGTCACACAAGAACTATTACAGTACAGTACAAGAGAACTGTTTCTAAAAGGGTAAAGGAACCAGTGCCTCTTTTCCAGAACTTCCTAGAGCTGGCTTTCAGTCAGGGCTTTCCTGACCACCACCATCATTTTAACCTAATAATATCTTTACATTACCAGTGGATAGCGAAAAGTTTTCTCCCTCTCTCATAGCACTAGAACGCGTGGACATCTAATGAAGCTGGATATTAGAAGATTCAGGACACGAATGAAAGAGAGTCATTCTTCATGCAGAGCAGAATTAAACTATGGAACTCTCTCCCAAAGGAGGCACTTAGATGGCTTTAAAAGAGGCTTAGACACATTCATGGGGGAGCATAAGGCTATAGGTAAATAGTAGCCATGAAGACTATGCTCTGCCTCCATGGTCAGAAGCAACAAATGCTTATGAATACCAGTTGCTGGAAACCACAGAAGGGTAGAGGGCTTTCTTGTGGGCTTCCTTTTGGGGAATCTGGTTGGCCACAGTGAGAACAGGATGCTGGACCAGATGTTGACTGGGCCATTGTTGGCTTGATCCAGGAGGCTCTTCTTATGTTCAAAGTTCCCAATTTAAGACCAGGGTATGCATTTGTCATGCTGGCCACGTGACCCGGAAGTGTCTCTGGACAGCGCTGGCCCCCGGCCTCTTAAGTGAGATGGGCGCACAACCCTAGAGTCGGACACGACTGGCCCGTACGGACAGGGGTACCTTTACCTTTTTATGCATTGCAATGATACCAGATTCAACATTCAAATGATCAAAGCTCACAGATTTTCCACCAATCTTCACCAGTGCCTGCATGAGTAATGGTGAACAGACTAAGCCAACCAATTCCCAAAGGCCAAGCAGAACAAGTACATCTTCAATTATTGTTGAGGAAACATTGGTGGGGGAGTCAAGTGTCCCTTCAATGGAAAGGATTTCTACAGCCATAGTGCCTATATAAGCAAGAAGGCCCTGCTGTCAGCAGCTGCAGAATAAGCTGTAGCAGCCCTCCCAGCAGACCTCAAGGCATGGGTTGACAAATGCTGGTTAGAAACATTCATTGAAATACCTTGTTCCCCCAGGTTTACCCCAAATTTCATTTTTTCCAGAAAATATGCATAACACTTTGTACAAAGTTTTGATTGTGCTATTGGTTAACTGTAACCAGTCTGAAATGGTCAACCGCTGGAGGTTGTGGACTCTCCTTGCTTGGAGGTTTTTACATAGAGGTTAGGTGGCCATCTGTCACAGATGCTTTAGTTGAGATTCCTGCATTGCAGGGGGTTGGACTAGATGACCCTCGGGATCCCTTCCAACACTACAATTCTGTGATTCTACGATTCCATTGAAGTTGCGCACCACTGGAGGCCTCATGCCCATTTTTCTTTGGCAGGGTGGTGGAACGGGGTATGGCAAATGTCAGTGGCCAAGAAACTTACAGGACATAGTCCACAAATCTGGGGACTTAAATGCAAGTCACCTTTTTCAGTCAAAAGGTTTTCATTTGTGTTACATCAACAAGGAGCCCCCTCCCTCCAGATTCTCACTGTACTTTGCATGTCATTACTTGCCTCTTCCCTGAGGTGACCCTTCCCCCCCACCCCCCAATTCTTGATCCTCTGCGCTTTGTTGATTTACCTGCTGAAATGTACCCCAGTTGTGGTTGTTGATGTGTTATATGTACTTTAACATTTTTCTTTATTTAAAACATATCTCAATAAAAAAATAAATTACCAACAAACATATCAGCCTGGATTCCTAGCCAGTCAGGGATGGGGAACCTGTGGCCCTTTAGATGTTGGCTGGAATTCAACCCTGATCAGCCTCAGCCACCCTGATAAATGGTCAGAGACGATGTAATCTAGCCCAGCAACATGTGGTGAGTCAGAGGTTTCCCACCCCAGGATCAGGCAGAGTGAAGTTGAGGGTCAGGGAAGTGGTGTGCCTAAGCTAGACAGCTGTCCTTGGGTGGAGGGGCAGACCATGCTGAAGTCTGATACAGCTGCCAGGCAAATTGGCTTCTTGGCATATGGAATGGAAAGGGCTGGCATCCTGTCGCTCACCACAGAGCACAATGTCTTCAGCCAGTCCTGGTTTTTTGTTAAGAGCAACATCCAAAACTGTCCCATTGGTACATCTCACTAGACCAGTGGTTCCTAAACCTTTTCAGGCCACTCCTCGCCATTGGTTCCTTAAACCTTGTTCCCAGTGGCCCTTGCATTATTCAGTTTGACCCTGATGGCTGTGGAGGAAGTAAGTGGCGGAGCATGAAAGGTGCTGAAAAGCAAACTTTTTGAGTTTCTTGTCCATGGTCTCTCCCAGCTTCAGAGGCACCATTACAGTTCTTTGCCAAGGGCACAAAGGAGCCTAGGTACACCTCTGATTCTAGTATACTTGGGACTGTAGCTCTGGGAGGGGAATTGGCGGGGAGGGTCTTCTAACAACTGTTCAGTGCCCTTCATAAACTCCATCTCTCAGAATTCTTTGGGGGAAGCCATGATGGTTTAAAGTGGCCTCCTAGTGCTTTAAATGTATGGTGGAAAGGTGCCCTTTGTTTCATTTGGGATTGAAAAGGGCACATCATGGGAACTTGACAGGACATGGCAGTGAAGTACTGTGCTGCAAAGTCCTAATTGCAACTCCAACCTTTGCCAGGACTTCACTGTGTGGCTTCGACTGCACTTGGCCACAAGGGGCCTGTCAGTAGGTAATGCTTGCCTACCCGGTAGGGTTGTTTGTAAGAACTGCTGAACTTAATGTGTGTGAATCCGTGCGAGGAAGATGGCTTTGGGTCTTCTGTGTGAGATCCTCTGTGTCCTTGTGGAACTTAACTCTGCGTTAACGGGGGACAAGATCCTGCAGCAAAATCAGGAGCCTTTTGCAAAACCTACTCCGGAGAGGCGCTGCCTGAGACCGGGCTCTTTTGCAACTCTTTCTGCTGCAGAAGCCAGAGATGACAAAAGAACCGTGTCTCGCCTCCCTCCCTCTCCCTCTCCGTCAATGAGCGCGACTGGCAGGCCGGGCAGCCAACGGAAATCTGCAGCTGGGCCGGCTCGGGCCAGTGAGCAGGCAGCGTGTGGCTTTGGGCAGACCTTCCTGCCTGCCTCTCCTTCCAAGCCTTTGGTTTCCAAAGCGGCTGCTGTTGCTTTAAAGTCTTCGGGAGGAGGGCGCGTCCGGAGCGCGCAAAGGCGAATGGAGATGGGGCGCTTGGCAAGGCTGCGGCGGCGCTGAACGCGCTCTCCCTCCTTGGTTGAGGCTCCCCTAGGCAAGCGAGGGGCTGAGTCTCTCCGCTTCCCGGAGGCACTCCGCTCCCACTGCTCCCTCCCTCCCCCCTCCCCGGCCATGTTTCCTCGTTAGCGGGCGGAGCGCTGAACGCCTGCGCGCAAGGGGAGAGCGGCGCTCTGGAGTTTGGCACCAGCAGCAGGCAAGCGAATCTTTCTTGCCGCCCCGGGAACGCGGGGATGGGCCGCCTGCACGCTTCTGCCTGTCCCCCGGGCAGCGGCAGCAGCTCCCGCTGAGACTGTGCAGAAGAAGCGCCCCTTTTCCAGCCTTTTCGCACGCGACAAACTTGAGTCGTCGGGACGGACGCCCCTACCACCCCACCCTTGCTTTTCTCCAGCGGCACCGTTTCCGCCCCTTTGGACCTCCGCCTCCGCCTCCTGTGATGCTGGGACGCGCACAGGTTTGGTTTCTTGGGCAATATATATGTTATATATATTAACCCAACTTTTTGAAAACAAAAGTATATAATTCCTGCATGTTGAAGGCAAAAGGCTGGTGAAGGGGTTTTGCAACTGGGAAATCAAGTTCCTTCCAGTATTCCTTCTCTCTCACGGGCCTGTGTGTGTGCCAGGAATGAAAAGTTATGCACTTTTTGTTTCCCTGCGACAGCAACACCCTTAAGACGAAAGTGGCTTCTCTGGCAATTCGTAATTTTACTTAACATGGGGGAAGATATGCAGGAGCTACCTGGTGTGGAACCTGATGGATTTTTAAAGTTTTAGCCCAGTTAGATTTATCAAGTTATTCTCCAAGTGGGCTTGTCAGTCTTTGCTGCCCAATGACAACAATGACAACTAATACTTTATTTTGCCACTCTTAACTTTTTCTGTATTATTTATTTTATTGCATTTACATCCCCCACTTATTTATCCAAGGAGCCAAAGGTGGCACACATAATTCATCCCTTCCTCATTTAATTCCCACAACAACCCTAGATTAGACTGAGACTGGCCCCCAGGGGTCAACCCCAATGAGCTTCATGGGCAAGTGGAGATTTGAACCCTGGTCTCTCCCAGGTCATGATCCAAGACACTAACCACTACACCACACTGGCCAATATGTAAACTGAACCACATCATCCTTTCTTGCAATAATATTGGGATGGAAACTAACATTAGTTAAAGGGGCAACTGGATAGTAGAACCTGAGTGCTGATTTTGAATTTGAATTGTTTATCATTAATTCCTCTGTTCCAAATCAGTTCCATCTATAATTAAGCAGAGGGCCCAGTTGTTCTTGCCTCTTATACTTCTTCAGAAACTGCTTTCTGTGCTTTGCTGTCAAGCAAACATAAGTGAGCAGTATGACTTTTCAGTACCTCTTTAAGTGGGTGGAAATAGACCCAAGCATATATTTTGGTAGTGCTGTGTATCAGGTCAATACTGGAGCAGAGCAACCACATTCCTTGCAATTATGTATTATTTCGTCTTCAGTTTTTCCAGTTTGTTTTTGTCAACTGTTTTCAAGTACAGATGAAATTAAAGTACAATTGAACAAATAACCAAACACTTCAGGCTTTTCTCTAGAAACACTGATCTAAAGAGTGCACCAAGCCTAAGAGCATGAAACCACATTCACTTGCAATTAGATGTTTTATTTCTTTTGCTAACAGTACTGATCAGCCACAACTCAGTGTTCACCTGAAGTAGCACCAATACATTACTTGGCTGTGTATATAGCACACATGGTGCCTGCATACACCATGCTCAGGCAAAGCATGTCTGCCTTTACGTCCTGTGGTTCCATCTCTTATTGCTCCCAGGCTGTGTCACAGGGCAAAGGAGGAATGCCGTGGAACGGGTGCTCCACCCCTCCAGTTAGCTTCTCAGTTTCCCACGGTGGGGTGTGACACAAGCTGGCTCCTTCCAGTGCTGTGCTCCTGGGATTCTTGGACAGGATGGGATTGGAAGGGTCTGGCTGGATGGGCGGGATGGAGGCATGAGCATCCTCATTTGTTTCATGTGGTTTGTGTGCAAATCATTGTGATTGCAGAATCCAGACTGTTGACCCTTTGCAGAGCCAGTAAACTCCCAGGTCAAGCCTATGTGGTCACTTGCCTTGTCCCATTGATGGTGAAGCAGTGATGGTACTACCTAACTGATACCAGCACTAAGGGTGAAGCATTTTACAACTTAAGTCACTGGTTTCCAAAGTGAGTGGTACTGCCCTCAGGAGGTGGTGCGATTACTTAGGGGGCACTAGGAAGGTACTGGAGGTGTAAATGACTATCAGGCTTTGAAAAGCTGGCATCACTTGTTCAAGTTCATCAGTTTTATTGAATTAGTTAAACTCAATAGTTTTAACTGGATTTTGAATCAATGTGTAATTAGTTGTCACTGTTTGGGATTTCATTGTGTTGCTATCTTCCTTAGTGGCTGCTGTAAACCGCTATTCTGAATAATGCTTTTTATAGGGTAAGGAGCCTTGGGGATGAGCTTATGGAATCAAGGGGGCAGTGGCCCAAATTAATCAATTTTAAACTATGGAAGGTATCCCCAATCAACTGCGAAGCAAAGAAGAAACAAAATGGGTAAAGAGACAGGGTTGTATCTGAAGGCAGCCCTGTTTAGGGAAGTTTTTAATGTTTTTAATGCTTTGGGCTGGGTTATCATCAATATGCTGATGACACCCAGCCCTGACTCGGCCCTGGACACACTGACCAGATGCTTGGAAGCTGTGGCTGGATGGCTGCGTGGGAGCCAGTTGAAGTTAAATCCTTCGAAGACAGAGGTCCTCTGGCTGGGTCAGGATGACATAGGGTTGGGGGGCCAACTCCCATCTCTTGCGGGGGCCCAATTAGTGCCAGCGCCTTCTGTCAAGAGCTTGGGTGTAACCTTCGACGCCTCCCTTTCCAGGGAGGCGCAGGTTGCAGCCACAGCAAAGGTGGCATTTTTCTATCTCCGCCGTATTAAGCAGTTGGCCCCTTACCTTTCTCACCCTGATCTGGCCACAGTGATCCATGTGATGGTCATCTCCAGGCTTGCTCTATGTAACTCGCTCTATTCAGGGCTGCCCTTGAAGTTGACCCAGGAACTCCAGCAGGTGCAGAATGCCACGGCGAGGCTCCTTACGGGGTGCTTGCTGCGGGATCACATTCACCCAGTGCTTTACCAACTGCACTGGCTCCTGGTGGAGTACAGGGTCAGGTTTAAGGTGCTGGTTTTGACCTTTAAAGCCCTACGCAACCTAGGACCCATGTACCTATGGGACCGCCTCTCCTGATATGCCCCGCGGAGGACCTTAAGGTCCACAAATGACAACACTTTGGAGGTCCCAAATCGCAAGGTGGTTAGATTGGTATCAACTGGGGCCAGGGCCTTTTCAGTATGGGCCCTGACTTGGTGGAACGCTTTGTCACAAGAGACTAGGGCCCTGCGGGACTTGATATCTTTCCGCAGGGCCTGCAAGACAGAGCTGTTCTGCCTGGCCTTTGGTTTGGACTCAGTCTGACCCTTATGTTTTTCCTCCCCTTACGGTTTTGATCCATGGGCTACTTTTAAAATGAGGCTGCATTTTAAATTGCATTTTTAACCTGTATTTTAAATTGCCCCCCCCCATATTATGTTTTTATTGTAATTTTACTGGTGTTAGCAGCCCTGAGCCTGGCTCTGGCCAGGGAGGGTTGGGTATAAATATTATTATTATTATTATTATTATTATTATTATTATTATTATTATTATTATTACTATGTTTTTAATATTATGTTGGGAGCCACCCAGAGTGGCTGGGGAAGTCCAGCCAGATGGGCAGGGTATAAATATATGATGATAATGATGATGATAATGATGATGATCAGTTATACTCAAAGTAGACCCATTAAAAATAACAGGCAGGACTAACAAGTGCATTATTTCCGGTGGGTTTATTCTGAGTAGAACTTGGTTCGATATAACTCATAATTTTTAATGCAGATATTAAAAAATAGAGAGTGGAAGTATCATTGAGAGAACCATTGTCCCTTTTCTCTCCCAGAGGAGGAAACATCTTATCCAAAAAAATCATTGCTACAACCTGCTTGTATGATCAAAAGCAAAGTATGTAGGCAGAAATATTTTTACACATGCAGATTTGTGTAAACATTTTTTTCAAAATGGTGCAAAATTAGCCCTACATAGGCATTGTTAACTGTGTTAAAATCTTTGGTTGGGGCGAGTTCTGCTCCCTGCCCCCAATGTCTCTTCAGCCTCACTTTGATTTTTTCTGATCTTTTGTATTCCACTGAAGTTTACAGCAGGGCTGATACTTCCCTCTCATATCACCCCACATAGGTTAATTTTTAGTGAGGTACGGATAACAGCATGATCTGGTTTGTATATCCTGATAAGCCAAACCATGACTTATTTCGTGTGCAGGCTCCCATAGAGGAGGATATGGCCTCCCTGCTTTTTTTGCTGCTGTGTTGAATCATAGAATTGGAAGTTGGAAGGAGTTAAGCTATGGTTTAGCTTAGTGTACCACTTAAATCTGGGCTTTTGGTTTAGTTTCCTTAGGTAAAGGTAAAGGTACCCCTGAATGTTAGGTCCAGTCGTGGACAACTCTGGGGTTGCGCGCTCATCTTGCTCTTTAGGCCGAGAGAGCCGGTTTTTGTCCGCAGACGGCTTCTGGGTCATGTGGCCAGTATGACTAAGCTGCTTCTGGCGAACCAGAGCAGCGTACAGAAACGCCATTTACCTTCCCGCCAGAGCGGTACCTGTTTATCTACTTGCAGTTCGTGCTTTTGAACTGCTAGGTTGGCAGGATCATGGACCGAACAACAGGAGCTCACCCTGTCGCGGGGATTCGAACCGCCGACCTTCTGATCGGCAAGCCCTGCCACCCGCGTGGTGCAACCAAGGCTTATCCTATTGTTTGTGGCTCATGGTTTGTTTTGGAGAACTACATCACAAGTCCAAAGTAAGACCACATGCTATGGCAAACCATGGCTTAGCTCAGTGAGGCATAATGGCAGAACAACCAGAAAGGAATGAAGTGACTGCAGTCTCCTCTCCCTGAGTCCATATACTCATGCTAAACTCATGGTTTGACTTGGTGTGGTGTCTGAATATCAAGTGTGTTTATGACCCTTATGTAGCAGCATGGTAGGCCCTGCAAATTCATAAAATTTACATGCCACTTGATTGTAAACAGCAACAGCAACCCTCAAAGTGGCTGTTGCATCCAAGGTATTTGAGAACTGACGTTAACATCTCACTCTTGCTTACAAGACTAAAATGAAACTGCATTGGAATGAACAGATCTTATTCCACCTTTGCAGTTCAGTGCAACCCATAAAAGACTTAAACACTGCATGTTCCTGTGAGTTACAAGGCAGGTTGTGCTGTGAGTTTGACCCATTATTTTTTCTCCCTTCACTCAGAACAAACAAGTGAAGAACTAGACAGTGGTTCCCCAACTTCTTT